TAAAACTGTTTGCATCTGATTGCATCTGATCTCTGGAAATATAATTTTGCACTGAAATAAGAAAATATACAATTATCTAAGATTTTATTCCATGGATTTTACCCATCTGCTGTATTTATCAAGTAAGGTACTATACAGCAGTAGTCAATGGTGTGTGTAAGATGTGTAAAACACTGGCCAGACCAACAGATTATTTTGTCTGACATGTTACTGTCTTATGACTTTTATTATGTTCACCACATGCAATTCAGCTTTTCTAGAATTAATGTTTGACTGTAGCTAGATGTCATTTTTCCCTCAATTTATCGCTTCCTCAGCTACTTAGATCTTAAACAGGCAGCATCCTTTTGATAAATAGTATAGTGGGATCATGAAAAGGAAACTAAAAAAAATTTTACTTCTTCAGATGGAATGTACATGCTTTCCTGAAACTGAATTTTCTGCGCTAGACATTGAGTATTTGGTAGGATGCTTTTGTCCTAAACTCGTTTAGGATTTTAATGCAGTGTATAGGACACCCTTGAGGGTGAGTGGAGCAGTCATAGAACACTGTTTTGTGAGATCAGCTATAAGACAAGGGGATCTTGGTATTAGGAGACACTGACATTTTTCATTTGAAAACTGCTGTATTAAACAGAATTGGAGTTCCTCTGGAAAAAACAAAGAAACGTTTAATATGTTTTTACTGGTGTTCTTTTTCTTTAAATTTACTATTTTAATATTCAGCTCTGCTGATAAGCATAGTTAATGCTTTGTTATTTTAAGTTAAGAATGGTGGATTTTAGATTGGTGTTTGCTTTAAAAAGCTTTGATAAAATTTATTCTATTGTTACTATAATTATAGAAAGGAAGTGGAGCCATTTTAAATACAGTAAAGACCAAGGCTAACCCTGCCATGAAGACTGTGTATAAGTTTGTAAGTATCGAGTACTGGCTTACTACTGAGATAAGAGTCTAATTATGATTCTGTTTTAACCTTTCAAATGAAACTCAAGACTTAAATTCATTTTTATTGGACTCACAAAATTACTTAAAATACGCATTCATCTAAATTTCAAATTTAAATGGAAAAGTCATTTTGAAATTTGAACATAATTGAAATGCAAAGGAGGAGGGGAACTTGTGATTTCTTTTGAAACTATAGATGATAAATTCTATTTATTACATAGAACTATTTCTGGGAAATAGTGCCTATATGCTCTACTAAGCAGCTCTACCATCTCATCATTACTCTGTTGGAAATCATTGTTACCTCAGGTTTCTCTGCTTGCAACTTCATCGAAATAAGGGAATCCTCTCATTTGCCAAATTGTTTCCATCTTTCCTAAATGTCAATTAATTTTCCCTGGAGATTTCTTATACCTGCTTATTTAGAGCCCAACTTACTGAGTTATTCTTTAAATGAAAATGTTTTCAGTTCTGTTAACAAATAGCTAGTACATTACTGTGTTATCACATATGGCTACCAGTTTCACTGTACAAGATAAAACAACATAGAAACAAGCGGGGATTTCTTCGAAGCTCAATTTTAGGAAATAATGCTACAAAAAGCATTGGGATAACTGTTCGAACTTTTATTTTCTCCTGCCTTCCTCCAGCCTGAGAGAGACAAGTAGGATGAGATCAGCTCTGCTGAATGGAACTGGCATCCAGAGTACTGCAAGGGGAAAGTTTGCAGGCTTACTCTTACTGTTGATTGTTAGCTTATAGCAAAGATAAATACCTGGAGGGGAAGACGGAGGCTGTGGAGTGCAAAAAGATGAAAGATGCCTAGGGCATCAAAACAGAGAAGACAGAATTTTTGCAACTACTGTGGGTGGGTGGTGGTGTTGGTGGGTTTTGTTTGTTTGGGGTTTTTTTTTAGCTTTCTGTTTGTTCTAATACATTTCAGTATCCTGTTACAATTTTTTCCTTGCCATTTTTAGTAACTAGAGAAGGTGAATCTTGATCCACTGAAATCAAGCCTAGTCATTGCTGGAAATAGAAGAGGATTTTAACTTAAATTAATTTTTCATGCAGGCAAAAGATCATGCAAAAATGGGAATAAAAGAAGTGAAAAACCGCTTGAAGCAAAAGGTACTTGAAGTTCTTATTCAAAATGTCTAAGCACCACGTATGAAATACTTAGTCGCAAAAAGCATTATGTGATCAATAGGAAGCTGTTTGATACAGTGTTGTTAGCACACTTCAAAATGCATTACCAGCTGTCCCGGAGTTTTCACACTGTTATAAATATTCACAGACAAAAAAAAACTGTCTTCAAATACATTAAGGCTCTGACTTAAACCCACAAAAGCCAGAAAATTGAGTGTTCTATTTAGAGTGGTCCCTCTCCTGTCCTTTGTGCTGGGGCATTGTGGAAGCGGACTTTATGTGAACTGGGAGATATTTCCTACAGTAATGGCAGTGAACTTTTTGCAAATGGCAAATTGTTGTTATTTCTACAGTAATCTCTCAGGGAAAATAGTATAGTATCTGTCATGGGGAAAAGGATTTATATGTTTCATGAATGTCTAGTGCAAAGTTTAGGCATAAAGGAATTAAATTTGAGTTGGTGTTCATTTCAAATTTCAATTATTGCAGAAAAAAAAAAAGCTCAGAGTGTTTGCTGTTTTCCAAACCTGTCTGTCTGTGTTTGTAAACAGTACAATTCCAAGAATGCTGAATTGTGTTTGAAGAATGTGTTATCCAATACTAATTGCTCCTTTTAAGCCAGAAGTACGTTCATATTGATACATACCTTATTAATGATGGTTAACTCTGCCTTAGGTTTATTTCAGATATTCTGTTTAGTCTATGAAGCAAGGCTATTAGAGTCTTTTGGGAAAACAAGATAGCTAACTTGCTAATAGAACTGAAGTTCTTATTCAGAAATTTTCATTCAATTTGTTGCATAATAGGTTTGTGTTGTGGTTTTTTGGGGTTTTTTTGTGTTTGTTTTTTTTTTTTAACCTATGCTATCTCAGTAAATTTCTTCTCTAAATTTCTAGACCATCATCTTAAGATAGCACTGCAAATGTATTCCTATGGCACAAACAGAAATCTATCTGAATGTGTCAACAGAATGTTAATACAAAGGGATTAGCGTGCAGCCAGGCTCTGAACTGATGGAATTAACTGTGTGTACAATCCAAATGCTGTTCACTCTCTAAATACTCTAGCAGATTGCTAGAGATTTTTTGGGAAGGATAAAGTTGCTTCAGATGCTTTTAATACTATTTTATTTTATTACATGTACTACTTTATATGTGACCACTTTAGGTATAATATGAAAATATTAGGAACATGAAGCAGTTTTCTTGTACATGGAATTTTTTAGGTAATTCCATGAGTTTCACTTCTGGACATAACCTTCATGAATAATAAAATGTTTGGCTTTCTCATGTGCATTTCTAAAGCAGTTGGAGCTGTGTAAAATGACCAGACTGTTTTCCTGTATTTTAAATGCTAATATAATTGTATGCTATTCTGTGACATTTGTATAAAAGGCTGAGATATGTCTCATTCATTCGTTGCTTTGTTTTATTATTACCGTTGTCTTCCTAGTCCTTCAAGCAGCAAGCGTTCTTTTTTAAAAACACACATAACATTTACAGATAAATGGCCCAATTTTGTTTCACCTTCCTTATTATGTGGCATTTCTGTAAGATGGTTAAACATGATTGTTCGATGTATGCTTTCACAAGACCTTAAAAGATTTCGGTGAGTAGTTGACACATACTGCTCTACCTTTCCTTTCTTCATTAAGTCTGTGCTTTTCTATCCTATCCTCTTCTCCATTTAGAATGCAAGACAGGAAGATAACTCTAAAATGAGGTATTGCTCTGTTTAAAGTGATAAAAATAGCAAAAATTGTTTTGGCCACCCTCATATTATTTTTAATCTAAATGTCTGTGTTGACAAGTCTATTAGTGCATCCTCAACAATTTTCATGTGAGAACATTGTATTTTTCATGTGTTCACTTACTAGTATGTGCAAGCGTTAACTGTTTGAAATTCTGTTGTCATTAAATACTTAATTTTTGCCAAATTTGGGATGCTAGACTTTCATCTTCTAAGGATAACCTAAGGTTATTTTTAAACTGAACTTGCTATCCACTGCATTTTAACGTATTGTTTTCCATTATTAATACAAAAAGTGTGCAGGCCACTGGTAAGGAAAAGTCAAATATAAACATCCCTTTTCCAGTTTTCACTGCCAAATATGAGCAGCTTCTATACAAGATAGAATTTAAAAATGCAATAAAGCTAGAGGTCTGCTTCCTACAACTCTGCATAGCAATGGTGACCTCTTAAATATAATCAAGAGCCCATTTTGCCCTTGGTCTGCTCCAGTCTTGGGTTTGAATTGCAAATGAGAAATGCAGGATTGACCTGTTGAGAGGTCACTGTGGTGTGTGTAAGGTCCTTCTTTAATATGATAGTAGAGATTGAATGGGGCTCTATTTCCATCCCTTGTTCATTTGTGGTACAGTATTTCAAAGCAACAGAAATAGTTTTCAGAGGATTCTTATAAGTGATAGCAAATAATTGTTAATAGATACAGCATGGTAGCTGTATTTTATATCTATACAGTAGTTTTATCACTAGACATTTTGTGAGCCCTGATACCTTTCTGAAGCAGAAGTTCAGAATTGGAGAGTCCTGTTTTCCTATTTGTGGTTTTATCTCTCTGTCTGTCTTGTACTCCCCATTGACTTCTGAATAACTGTATTCAAAGTCTGTTAGTGGACTGAAGGTATGTCACAGACTGCTTTGAAGGACTGTTGTCTACTTTCCAATGACAGAATTGCCAAACATTTTGACATTTAGTCATTTTAAAGCTACTTGGAGCCCTTATTTGAGGTGTTTAAAATCAGGCTTCTCTGTTTATTTAGCTCGAATGTGTTTTCATTGAAAGTAGAAAATGAACTTTTGTGAAACAAATTTTGCTTTGATGACTGAAGCTGTGTTGTTGACTTGTCTGCCTTTTTGGGACTTTGAAAAAATAGAGATGTATCGAATAATTTAATTCTCATATTTTATTAAGTAAATTTAAAAAAAATATTGACTGAAATCTGCAGTTTCTTTGGCAGGCTGTACAGCAAAGAATGGAAATACTCGTTATGAACATGTTATCTTTTGTACGCAATTATATCATCAGAGAAGTACAGCAAATCTATAGCAATAAAAGTTGCAAGGATTTGCAGTGATCGTTGTACATCTTAGGGGGTTTTGCTTAATGGCTTGACCTGTCTTGTATCTTTTATCTCCTCCCATTCCCCTGATGTCCAAACTTTGGCATCCATTTTACATTTTTCTGGAAATTTTGCCTGGATTGGAAGATGCTTGGCTTTCCGTTGATTCTCAGCTGTTGCCTTGGTAGGAGCCACAGCTCCAGGTGGAATTCTGAAAGCTCTGAAGTGCTGGGGACATCCACTGTTCAGTGCAGGTCAGGTGGCTTTAAATGTGCCAGACACCTTTATGGCACATACATAACAGGTCTGAAGCTTGGTGCACATTTAATATGGCCATACTTGTATAGAAATATGTGAATAACGTTTGTGTTTAATGTCATTACATTTCAGAACAGTGTATGTTGCTGCCATAGGTTATGTGATTCCAAGACTGACCAGATCCCTTGGTAGCTTGTTGCTGTTTTGGAGCTGAAGTATGAGTTTGACAGAAGTTTGCATTTCTTGTCACCGAGTTGTTTTGGAGCTCTTTGTAACTAATTCAGTGTACTTTGTTGTATTTTTTTAAAGACAAGGTAGCATTGTGCAGCTGGAGGGCGGAGGGAGGAAAAAGTTTTTCTCTCTAGTTTGACCTTAACAAGTTGTTAATTTCCCCATGATCCTTATGCCCATATTGGTGAACCACTGCTCTACCAGCTGGATCTAAAAAGGTCTCAGCTTCTCTGTGGAACAGACAAAGCCCCTTAGAAAGTCCATCCAGCTTTTTGTTTCATTTGACCTAAACACATTAGGTCAGTCTGTGTCCAAAAGAACCATTTCTAATTGGCCATCAGCTTACATGTCTCATTATTGTACCTTAGCAAGACGGAAACTTGAGGGGGCATGTCAAAGGTCAGTGAATCAAAGCAATGTCTATGTCAGCAGCCAACCTCAGGTCAGTCTTGCAGAGCTACAGCGTGTGCAGGTTTCTCTCTATATTTACCAAGCATTATTTCCTTGACATTGTTGCAAAGACATGTAAGGTTTGGGGCCCACTGCGTTACAGACTGTTTCTCAACTGACTTTCAAACTCTTTTCTCCTTGTCTGATTCCTTACCCCTGCATGCCTTTGTCTTTTTCAAAACCTATGTTACACATACCATACATACACTTGCCAAGCTTCCTAACCTAGGCTGATGGGTCACTTTACTTCTGAAGATGAGGACTAATGTCAAAAGCAAAGCAAAACAAAAAAGCATCCTGCTAGGCAGCAGTTGGTTTTATACAATCTCCTGAAGACATATTCAGTATACACGGGCTCAAAGATAAAATGCAAAGCTAAGCTGTGTGTTTCGTCTCTCCTTGCCACTTCCACAAGTAATTGTTCTGCTACAGATAATTCTGTGAAGTACGTAAATAGAATTACTGTTTTCATTTAGGTTTGCAAAAAACAGAATAGCCCTGTTCCTGGATTTCTGTTGAATTTGTTCCTAGAATAGAAATTTTGAGCTATGTATTTTTTTTTTGTCTCCCCATATATTTCCTGGCTTTTGCATGTTTAAGTCAGACATTTTATTGAATGTATCTGTTTGCATGCAACATTGGTATTAGGAGGAGAGAGTGGTTGTGTACAAGCTCTGATTGACAAAGTGCAACAAAATGTTTTATTCTAATTATGTTTTCTTTTCTGTACTTTGTTGGTTTTGTTTTTTTTTCCCCCTAACATCAAAATTGTTAGTCAGCATTATCCTCTAGTGTCTCCTTTGTGCCCCTTATCCTCAGTCAAGAATGTTCCTGGCCATGCTATTCACCTTTTCCTACCATACAGGACATTGCTGAGAATGGGTGTTCTGCAACACCGGGGGAATCTCTACCTAGGACAGCGCCTTCTCCATTGGTTGAAAAGAAGGACCCTAAATTAAGAGAAGACCGAAGACCAATCACAGTACATTTTGGTCAGGTATGTCTTCACGTTAGGTTTCTTTAAATTGTGACTCAGCAAAAATAGTTCAGAGAACAGTCACAATAACGAATATGCCAATTGTTTCAGTAATTTTTATAACTGAATTATGTTGTTATAGATTTATTTCTTTTGTATCTGTTTAAATGGGATTCTAAAACCTGATTTTTCTGGGGTTTACTGATTCCTTTTGTTCATATAATGATTTTGAGGAAAATAAATTCTAAGTGTATGTGGGGGGGAAGCATAATTATTATAGCAATTTTACAAACTATTTTGCTGTTCTTTTAGCATGCAAAGTGCTATAGCCCTCAGGACTGAGGATGTATAATTTAAAATGTTCTCTCTTATCTCGCCAGATCATTAGTGTCAGTTTAGAACATCCAACTATTAAACAATTTTAACATTCTCAGAAAATTAAATGCAATGAACTAAGATGGAAAAATCAATTAATAGCTTATTAGTGTACTCTGTATTTCAGTATTGACAACTGAGCTATACGCATTAGTTACTCTTATAATGTTTCTTTTGATATGCTGCAAAAGAGTGAGTTCGGTTGTGTAGGGTTTTTTAAGCGCTAATTATTTAGAAAATTTTATGGTTGCTGTGATTTTCATGGAAAAACATACAGTATTTACTATCAGTTTGCCAGTGTTGCCGTATTAAGTGTAGCCTGACTCAAAAAATAACATTATTTGTGTTCACAGTTGTCTTCTCTTTCTCTATATCTATTTTTTACCCTATTATGATCAGAAAACAGGAGTGAATATCTGATTCCTTCTAAGGAAACATAGTGTAATTTTAAAACAATTGTAAAATATTGGGAACTATAAAATGTGAGGCAAACCAGATTTTTAGATAAGTACCTATTAATAGAAACTAGTCAGTATAGCTGCATCGACTGTTTAGGTATTAGATAGGGCTACACAAGCAATGGTGTCTGTATCATTTTAGAATTAGATTTGTTTCTTTCAGAACTTTCACCATGGTGCTAAATGTAAGTTCTTGGAGACTTTTTTCCAAAACAGATTCTCTTCCAATTAAATATTTGCAGTAGTGGTTTATTTTTCACTTACTTTCTGTGCCCATACAGTTGAGAGGAATTGGGGCTACTGGAGAAATGTAGCCATCTAGCTCTAGCCGGAAAATGTTACATTTCATTTAAAGCAGTCAGAAATCCAGATAATACTATAATCTACTTTCAGTTTTTTCCTTTAGGATGGATGGTTCAAACATTTTGGTAGATTAGTGAAATATGTAATCCAGTGGAAAGTGCAAATTTAAATTCATGAGGTTTTTTAACGGTCACTTTCAAATTTTTTAATGATCACTTTCTCTGTGTCAAAAGAAACACACATCAGCTTTACTGAACCACTGGCTGTGGTGAAAGTCTCGCTTGCTAAATGCTTATTACTGTCATTACGTTACAAATGTCGGTTTCCAAAAAATGATCTAACTTAGCAGTTGTAGGGCTATCTCAGTTATAGCCTTTGTCCTTTCACAGGTCCTTTTTTCCTGATAGCCCAATGCCAAAATGAAAATTAAATCATATTTTCATTCAAAAGGAAAAGATGTTCAGGTTTATGAAATATAAATTAAGGCTTTAGGGAGGAAAAAAGCAGCAACATTTACAGTTTAAATGGGAGATGGCTTCTAACTAGTGATTAAAGGGAGAGATTTTAGTGTCACTTTTAACTCTGTCTAGAATACAGTAGGTGGGAACAATTAAACAGCCACAAGAACTCTGAAATAAGGGCTGTTTGTGCATTCACAGTTCTTATAAACTGAAGAGGATGAAAGAGGCTTTTTTCTCATTGTCACTTGCTTTCTATGTCTGCTAGTATTATGCTAGTGTATATGGCAAAGGCAGACTTTTTTAAAATGCATGCATGCGGATTAGGGTCAAGCCCTGTGTATCAGTAATGCAGTAAGCCTCGTCCATACCACTGCAGTGAGAGAGCCTACCAACAGCAGCGAGATGCTTTAATTGAGACATGCTGTCAAAGTGACAAACACATTTGCATACAGTCTATTTATTTTCGTTGGAAAGGTCTGCAGTCTGCTGTTGGTTGAACACTCTTAATCAGCTCGCTGTAAGTGAGCCGGCAGCTAGCTGTCCTATGCTAGGTGCTTCTCTTCATTACATGACAGATTAGCTAAAGGGGGATGGGCTAGCAAGCCAGCAGCAACCTTTAATTTTAACTCATTATCTCTCACCCTATAGTGAGGTAGTTTCTAGCTTTTCCAAATACAGTTGTGTGTCTGCAGTTGTTAGGCTACAAAAAATAGCAGTACAATATCTTGAAATGTCTTTGAATGTATAGCACGTCAGCTGATTGTTCTCAAAAATTTAGCAGCAATTATCTAACTGTATGAGGTTCCGTAGCGATGTAGCTCGTCTTGGCAAGTGGTTATCAGGCATTGTTTGAGAGGGCATTGTTTTAACAGTGGTTTCTGTAATACGAAGACCTTGTGGGAAAGCTCTCCTTAATCATGAAAAGAAGGATTTTAGCCAGGTAGCCTAGGGCAATGCAATAAAGATTTGAACAAAGTGTTCTTAATAAGACTGCACAAGGAGACCAAAGTGGAATGGCATGACCACAGCTTTTTCTCCGGTTTGACTTTGCATGCCTTTTGGTTTACTCAGGGTGTACCTTTAGTATTGACCCTCAGATCAATCAGACAGAAGGAACTATCATCGTGGGCCCTGAGGCAATACAACTATACTCAACAAGTAGCAAGAGCAACACAGGCAACTAAGGTTTAATGAGTGACGAGAAGACGGAACAATTTTCAAGCCAAGAAATAGATTCGGACAAATAGTATATAGTACTGAATAGTAGTCTCTGTTTTGGGGAAAGGTAAGGTTAATTATAGTAGAAGATACAGTGCTACAGAGAGCATCCTTTGTAAATGTCTTGTTATTGCTTGCTTGCTTCTGGCTTTTTGTCTTAAAACCTGGCCAAAACTTACTGAAAACATCGGAACACATGCTGCATATTCAGCTACCAGCATCCACTGCCACTGCCGTAGATCTCCTTGGGATCCTTCCCAGTGATGCCAGGCAGGGCAAGCCCTGTGAGCCCGTTGAAGAGGGCAGATAGGACAGCTAATACAGTGGATGTGCGACTCAGGTGTCTGCGGCTTTTACTTCTATGCACATACTCCCACTTTTTAGGTAGAATGCACACGTTTATCTTTGTCATCTTTTAGCTATTTGGAGAATAAACACTACACTGTGTCACTGTGACTATTTTGAATACATTCCTTGTCCATGCAAGCAGCTATTAGGGGCTAGTTTGGCAGGACCCACAGCTTGAAACATTAAGATCTGTTGTGGTACCGGATGTGTGTGGTTTGGGTTGGTTTTCTGGTGCAGTGGGGTGGAGGATGTTTTTGGTTGTTGCTTTGGTTTTGTTGTTTGGGTTTTTTTTATAATGTTCATTTTCACCTAATGGCTGCAGAAATTTTAGTGATCTTGATTGTTCCTAAGTCTTATCATTTTATGTTCAAAATAAGGAAGAGAGACTGCGTGAATATGGACCTTTTCACAGTATTTTTCAGATTCTGAGTTTGCATTAGCAGTGCTTGAATTGTATGTTTCCTCTAGAAATTTCGGTTTCCATCACTGAACTGTTGGTGGTGGCGAGCTACAGTGATAAGGATGCTGCGCAGAGCATTATGTTAAGCAGCCTTAGATCTCTTCTGATTTGTGATTTTCATTAACTGATTGATCTGTATTGCAGTTCAGTTTTGTCTGATTTCAGAAGTATGTTGTTCGAGGAGTTCTTAATATCTCTATACCCTAAACAAACATGACAATCTTTAAGGTGCCTTAGATAAAAACGAACAAACAAACAAACAAGAACAAAACATTTTTCTTTTCTTTTTGCAAGACTGAACTATCCTGATAAGGTATTTTGGGGGTTTTGATTTTTTTTTAAGTTTCTTTGAGACAGAAGTCTCAAATATCTCATTCAAGTATTTGGGTAAGTGATATTTATACATGTTATGTATGTTACAGCCAAAAAGCAAAGTCTGGGAAATGCACACATCTCCTTAATGATGGTGATTTTGTAGCTGTTTCAAGTAACGCAAGAAGCTCTCCAAAATATCTTGCTGAGTTTTTAATGAGCAGCAGGCTTTCTCAGTTCTCTTGTATGTATTTTTGCATTATCTAAAGCAAAAGCAACAAAACAAAACAAAGACCCTTTGTAATATCTAAATTGATGATTTTGCTAAGGCAGAAAGGTAGGTTAATATCTGAATCTGATATTTTAGAAGCCTTTTCCCTCCAGAAGACAGTGCTTAACTATTAGGCCACTAGTACACCAGCTGTGGCTATGATAAAACATCTACAGTGACTGTGTGCCAGCCAAGAGAAGAAATGCTGTATGATTTTTAGGTTTTTGAGACTTTGCTTAGATGGGCAGACACATTGACAAGTCCCTTTAACTACTGCAAGTGTGTGTCCTGGTGTGTGTTCATACAGCTCTGTTAGAACCTGTACCATCGTACAGTCTGAGATCATGGGTATCATGGCCAAATGGAGCACTTAACATTTGGCAGGGTTGCAGCACTCTTGTTAGGGAGTAAAGGGAGCACTTTATTTTCCAAAAATATACTTGTTTTTAACACGTCTTTCTCCTAATGAAGCTTCTGCTTTTATCCGCACTGCTTCCCACCCCTCCACCCCTAACCAAGCCTTCATGCTACTCCTCTGAAACGTTGCACTGAGTGCTTCTACAAGAACCTCCTTGTTCAGGCAGGGCCGTTACCTCTGCCCAGTCTTCCTATCGGTCTTTGAGAGGTGGTGTAAATGCGACAGGGGCTGAGCCTAGAGTCTTTAAAAACAATGGTTTTTAAACCTACGCTTGGGGACGTTCTTTCTCTGGAGCTTTTACACAGTAGCACAACTGATATGGTACAATTAAAACAACAAATGATAAGCTGCCAAAAACATCATTTGTTGGAAAAGGGTATCATTTCATTAGAAGCAA